TTATGGGAATAACAAGCTGCCTTCTGATTGGATTAAAGGGCCATGCCACAAGTGGAAATTCAAGCTAGGTATTGTAACTGACCAAGGATCCATAGCTTGGGAGCACATTGGCCTCAGCATGAAGCTCCAGCTATTATTTTACTAATTGTACATAGAATCAAGCTGCCCTCCAAATTCCCCTCTGCACCCATAGATTAGTGCAGCTCTCAGACATCAATGAAGTTTGTGTGTGCAGCAGATGGTGGTTAATGCAGAAACTCACAACCCATCAAAGGGTAGGAACTGTCTCTGGAGTGCTCAGCCACAAGCCGGCATCTACCGACGACATACTGCCTTCCCCCAAGGCTCAGGGTCCATCGTGGAAGAAGATTGTAAGAGAGAGGGGCTGGGAAGGACCAGAAAACAAAAACAAAACAGCGTGTTCTAGACACGATGGGACCATCATACTCATGAACATAGCTGCTGTGGTCCCCTGCATAAGGTTAAGTCCATCAACACTCCAACATAGAGGCAGGAGAGGCTCACAAGCTCCACCCTAGCTGAGGAGCTATTGACACCGGATGACTTCTGGAGGGAAGGTCAGTTTTCTTGAAAGAGTGTGACCCCTGATAGGTCAACCATGCTCTAGTGGATGGCCCGACCCCATGAGCACTTGGGCAGCACACTTTAGACTCAGTGGGTTTAAAAAAGAGAGAGAAAGGATAGGAAGGGGTAGAAAGGTAGGGGTGGATCTAGGAGGATCAAAACCCACTGTGTGCTCATATGACATTCTCAAAGAATAAATGAAACTGTATTCCAAAAAACACAATTTTTGTGGAATCCAACACGTGAGGCAATGACAGGGGAATTGCTGGGGCTGGCTGCCTTTCAGTGTCCCTACTGTCATTCAGTCATCTGAGGACTCCTCCTCCGGTTAGTGAAACCTCGCTTGAAAACCGCTAGGAAAAAGCCGGACAGTGGTGGCACATTCCTGTAATCCCAGCACTTGGGAGGCTGAGGCAGGTGGATCTCTGAGTTCTAGGACAGCCAGGGCTACACAGAGAAACCCTGTCTCAACCACAACCACAGAATCAGTAAGGAAGCTCACAATGTTAAAAAAAAAGATTTATTTTTGTATCTGTGTGTTGTGCCTGGTGCCCTCAGAGGTGAGAAGAGAGCATGGAAGTCTCCAGGACTGGAGTTACAGATGTTTGCATTATTTTTGAGTCTCCATGTGGGTGTTAGGGGAAAACCAAGACCTGTGTAAGAGCAACCAGGGCTACTAACCAGTGAGCCAGCTCTTTAGCTCAAGTGTGCTTTGTTAGAAGCACTTTA